GGTACTGCGTCACCTCCAGGTGGCCCTCCTGGCACGCCAGGTACAGGGGCGTGGCACCGTTCTTGGTTTGGGCATTCACTCCCCTGCGAACAGGAAGCACCCACCGAGGCTGTCAGCACCCGCCCCTGCGAGGCCTTCCAAAGCCCCCGTCCCTTCCGGGGACCCTGGAGGGCTGGCAGGGTGGGTCGCGCTGTTCCTGGCTCCCTCTGGACTCAGACCTCTGCCAGCCCCCCCTCAGGGCCCCTCTGGCTTGCCCCTCCTCCCCCCGCCCTTCCTTCCTATAATACACCTGGGCCTGAGCCCGGCCCTGCCCTCGGTGAATAGCCCGCCCCTTACCAAGGCCTGACCTGGCCTCTCCCGCCCTTTCAGCCACACGGACCCTCTGTCCCTGTAAGCCCCACACCTGCTGCCTGCACCCTCCTACAGAATGTCCTTCCCTCCTCCTTGCTCTTTACGACTCAGGGCAAATCCCTCCTCCCTGAGGCCTGCCTTGATTCTCCCAGGCAGGGCAGGCCTTTCTCACCCCTGTGCCCATACTGCCCTGGCCCACTCTGGGGACACCTGTCTTGCCTAGTTGGACATAACTGGTTTGGCCTCTGTCTCCCTCAGAAAGTTGAGTTCCCAGAGAACAGAAAGGTAGGGTTGCCAGGAAAACACAGAATGCCCAGTTAAGTATGGGAATATCAGATAAACAACAAATCATTTAAAAAGTTTATATATATATATCTCCCTGGCTGGTTTGGCTCAGTGGATAGAGCCTAGGGAGTGAAGGGTCCCAGGTTCAATTCCTGGTCAGGGCACATGCCTGGTTGTGGGCTCGATCCCAGGAGGGGGCATGCAGGAGGCAGCCAATTGATGATTCTCTCACATCATTGATGTTCCTATCACTCTCCCTCTCTGAAATCAATAAAAAATATTTAAAAATAAAAATTATAAGTGTATCCAAAATATTGTCTAAAACGTCGTTTGTTGATCATCTGAAATGAAAATTCGTTTGGATATCCTGGTGGTTAGCCTGGCAACCCTCTGGATGGCCCCCGTCCCCTGAGCACTCCCCGTGGCTGTGCTATGAGGTCAGCAGGCAGGCCCCCACTGAACGCCCTGCGGTCCGATGCATTCCCATCGGCAGAGGGGCAGCTGGGGCTCAGAGGCTGTGACAGGCCTGAGGCCGCACAGCCGTACGTGGGTGTGAGTGAGTGCACACCTGTCTGTGCCATGCGGCACCTGGCACACAGTAGGCACACAGGGAGTGGAGAGAGGGCATCCCCTCGCCTGCACCTGTCACTGCCCCTCAGCTCCCCCAGAGGGTCCTTACTGGGGGACAGGGAACTCGCCCCACAAGCTGGGGTGCCGCTGGGAACAGGGGAGCCGGCAGGGCCGCTGGCTGATCCTCACTTTTCCTGACGTCACCGTGGGTCCTGGGCAGCCCAGGATGCAGTTACCGGAGTTGGGCACTAGGTGGAACCACAATCTAGGCCAGTGACGGCGATCCTTTTGAGCTCGGCGTGCCAGCGTTTTGAAAAACCCTAACTTAACTCTGGTGCCGTGTCACATATAGAAATTTTTTGATATTTGGAACCATAGTAAAACAAAGACTTATATTTTTGATATTTATTTTATATATTTAAATGCCGTTTAACAAAGAAAAATCAACCAAAAAAATGAGTTCGCGTGTCATAGGTTCGCCATCACTGATCTAGGCCCAGACCCACGAGCTGCCCACCAACAGCCCCAGTGATTCTCAGCTCAGGGCAGGGGCTGTGCCCCAGGAAGTGCGGTTCTTCCTGCGAATCCACCCATCTATCCACTCACTTCATCAAACCCATGCTACACCCCTCCATCCACGCCCTCCCTCCCTCGTCCAATCCCAGCCCCTCTGTCCATTCACACAGGCACCAGGCCACCCACTCCTCTTCCATCTGCCCGCTCACTCCCCCTCTTGTCACTGCCAACATGTCTTGGCCCCTCCCTCTCACTCCCCCCACCGACACCCAGCTGATGCCTTTCTCCCTGTCCCTAAACCCTGGCCTCTGTCCACTTCCCTGACCCCTGACCCCAGGGCGCTCCTTCCTCCTGGTGTGGGCTGTCTGCCCTAGACACACAGCTGCCACTGGCTGGGGCTGATGCTGGGCCAGCACTTCACACATCTGGGGAGGAGCAGGGGCCATGCCTGGCTGCCCTCTGTCACCCCACAGCGTCAGGGGTAGAGTGGTGCCCACGAGCCGACACAGCACACACGGCGCCAGAGACCCGTGTCTCACCTCAGCCACACACTGGCCCGAGGCCACTGGCCTCCACGCCCCAGTGCCAGCGTCGCCCCCACACACCCATTCACATGCTGGTGCGTCAGTAAGAGCCTGTTTAATATTTCACGACCGACACTCAGTGGCCTGAATTATTCACCCCGTAACCAAGGCACAGTGAGTGCTGGGGTCCTGGGGATGGGAGGCTGGAAGGGGCCCCCACCCAGGGCCCACAGGACTCTCTCTGGAGATGCCTGAGGCACATACACAGCTGGGGCGCCAGACCTGCCAGGAGCCCTGCCCTCCCAGCAACCCCCCTTGGCAGGTATCCATGACCCAGGCGTGCCCAGCCGGCCTGAGAAGCTGGCACGGAGCAGGACCCCGGCAGGAGGGGACAATCATGCCCTCAGCCTCCTGCCTGGCCACTGGCTGGCGCTCTCAGCCGGAGTCCCGGGTGCATAGTACGTGCTCAGTAAATGCTCGACTCGACACCGTCACTGTTAGTACTCCAGCCTCTGTGCTCAGGGTCCCCACGCTGGAGGCACAGCTCCAGCGGGGAGACCCCAGGACACAGGGCAGGTTCGCTGCTGGGCCAGGTGGCCAAGGGGGTCCCAGCCTTCCTACCCTCTTCTACCTCAGCCCGGAGGCCGGAAGGGTGGGTCTCCTCATGCTATAAAAATCTGCAAGAGCATAAAGAGATGAAGGATGAATTGAGATGGAGAGATGGATTTATAATGGGCAGCAATGATCATCATTGATAATAGTGGTAGCAGTCCCATTTATTGAATGAGTTCTCTGTTCCAGGCACGGAGACGAGCATGATACACATTCTCTCATCTTGTCCTTGTAAAGTGGCCTTAGGAGGTAGGTGTTAGCATTGCCCCCTTTGACAGACGGGGAAAGTGAGGCTAAGATCACGCAGTGAGAGAGAGGCAGAGAGGGACCTGGGTGCGGGAGGACCTGGCTGAGCCCTCCAGGCTGTGCCAGGGTCCGGCCTCTTGTGCGATGGCTTCTCACAGCCATGGTGAGGTGGAGGCGGCATCCAACCCGGAGACACTCAGAGCCCTCAGCACCGCTTGGTGCCCTCCTCCCTGTGTCCCGGGGGGCGGGGGGGGGTAGTGCACTGCTGGCTGGGGGCATCCAGGCCTCACCAAGCAGGAGTCACTGCCTAGAGGGGCGGGGCGGGGTCTCAGGGGACACCCTGATCCAGCCCTACCAGTTCTGGCCTCAGGGACCACCGGGGGGGTGGGGTGGGGAGGGAATCCCCCCTCCCAGCCCGGCCCTTTGCCCTGGCCTCTGCTCACCCCCGACTCTGCAGCTCGCTGCACAGGGCCCGGGAGTTCTTTACCCTCTGAGCCTCAGTTTCCACATATGGCAAGTGGGCGTGATAACTGTCTGGCCTCTCCATGCCGCTTCCCAGAGAACAGAAGAGGAAGCTTTGCAACCTTGTGTTTCCTGGGGGGAGGGTGACCCGCCATCCCTCGCCCACCCGCTGGGCCATGCTACCAGCCCTGGAGGTGTTCCCGTCCTCACCTGACGTGACCACTGCCTAACGGTGCCCCTTCCCCCAACACCTGCCTGTGCTGGGCCCTCAGCCTCTGCCTGCCTCACCACCTCCCAATGTCGGGGTGCCCCAGGGCCTCCTTTCTGAGTGCCCTCTCTCCCTGGTGAGGTCATCTACTTCCCAGGCTCGAGGCGGCCTGGCCCCGAGGCCCGTATCTCTCCAGCTTGGACCTGGAGTCTGCATCCCCCCCACCTCTGCCCACTCAGGGTCTGTGCATGGACTAGGCGCTTGACCTTCGCGTGCTGAGAGCCGGACAAAGGCTGGATTCCGGACTCCGTATCCAGTTAACAACGTACTAGTGCCAGGCGCTGGCTCCCAGGATGCGAAGGCGAGGTCTGCTCTCGTTGGTCAGGAGGCAGACAGGGGTGCACAGGGGTGCACAGATGCAATGCCAGGCCAAACTGTAATGCGCCCCATGACACGCACTCCCTCCCCGTCCTCCCGCCTCATTTCCCGCATTACAGTTTGAAGGAGCTCAAGGCCGTCCTGAGAGGGAGAGGAGCAGAGGCCTGAGGAGGGAGGGGCTCTGTGGGGAAGAGTTCTGAGTGGAGGGAACAGCCAGGGCGAAGGCCACAGGGTGCTGGCCTGTTGGAGCAGAGCAGGCGATGGGAGAGCAGCTGGAGGGGAGGGTGGGCCGGAGTGAGGGTTACTGGGCCGTGTAAGGAAGTGGCTTCTCTGTCAGTGATGGGGAGACTGACAGGTCCCCAAAGGTGTGCGGAGCTGGGCAGGAAGAGGGCAGGGCCAGGGCAGGGAGAGCTGCCAGGCTCCAGATCTGACGGCTTGGACCGGGCGTTGCTGATGGGGATGGAGGCTGTTCCCACTGAGAGGGGTCCCCCTATTTCACCAGGTCTCCCCTTTCTCAGAGCCTCCAGCTGGGTCAGGGCCCCCAACGTGGATGTGCCAGCCCAGGCCCTGCTGCCGAGGGACCTCAGCAAACTCCCAGGGTAGACCTGGCACAGGGGGGGGGCGGTGGTAACAGAATAAACGAACCCTCACTGCCTGTGGCGGAAACAGCGGCCCAGCAGGGAGGGGCAGACCCAGGCCTGGGCAGAGCCTCTAGCCTTCGAAGGGAGAGCGAGACAGTCCCTGGGGTCCTTGAGGGGTGAGCAGCTCGGCTCCCTGCTCAAGATGGGGGGCTGCCTGAACCCCTCCAGCGGGGCTGTGGAAGCAGCCGGGGATCCCCAGCAAACCTGAAAGGCCCGGAGGGAGTGGGAGACAGAACCGAGAGGGGTGGCCAAGGCCACACAGTGAGCCAGGGGACCTCCGCAGGCAGCTGGCCATGAGATGTCCTTTCTGTACTTGTCACTCTGCGAGGCAGGCACATCTGTCTGGTTCAGCGAAGTGTCCCTGGCACTTAGAATCTCGCCTAGCACAGCGTGGAGTGAGCCCATCTGTAAAACGGGTGATTACAGGGCCACTGCCTGGCGTGGTTGTAAGGCTCAGACTGGTGCTAGGTGCCAGCTTCTGGGAGACACTAGCCTCTCCTGGCTCCTGGCCAGGGCACTTCCTATCTCTGACCTGGGCCCAGAGCCCACCCCCAAGCTCCCAGCCTTGAAGTTCAGGTGGGGGCAGGGGGCCCTGGCTGAGCCCAGCCTCCCTCCAGCTTCAGGATGAGCATGGTGGCTCCTGGGCCCCAGGACCCTCCCGGCAGGTGGTCAGGCGCCCTGAGAGCCCTGCTCCCCCCACTTCCCAGTCTGTCCCCACTGGTCCCCCACCACCAGCCACTCATGCTCCTGGCCAGGAGGGACGACCAGACAGCTCCTGTCAGCCTCTATGCCTCCAGCTCAGGGACCCTCTTTCTGCAGAGGGCTCAGAGGGAGGGTCCCCAGGACAGCAGACCCCAAGGTTGCTGGGGCCATTCCTTGGCCTCTGGGAGAATTTGACCAATGGACTGGGATAGACTGGAGGAGGGGTGGGGTGGGGGTGCAGGGTGTTCCTGGGGTCGCAAGCCCTTTCTGATGCCCCCTAATGCAGCCTGGCACTGGCTGGGCCCTCCCCGGACACCGTCCAGCCCTCCTGCTCCTTCGAAGCTTGTCACTGCCAAGGCCCAAGGCCACCGCAGCTCGCTGGGTGGGATCGGGTTTCTCTGCGGTAGGGCTGGAGTCGTCCTCCCTCCCCCGCAGGGAGAGCTGAGCCCTTGTGAATAATTCACAGGCGCCACAGCAGCCAGGCTCACGGGTGGGCGGCGCTGCAGCCTCCAGCCGGCTGCCTGGGCCCCTGATTGTGCCCTGCAGCCTAGAGCTGTCCCAGCCTCTGCCCCCGCCCCCAGCTCCCTGCCCGGGCTCCCCAGGCTGGGGGAGCAGGGGTCTCCATCCCCACAGGCAGCTGGGTGGGCACTGGTCTACACCCTCTCCTGGCAGTGCCCCACCCAATTCCCAGCCACCCCTCCTGCCTGCGCCCTGTCTGGGGACCACACAAAAGCACCTCCTTATCAGCCAGGGCACATGCTGCTCGCGGCAGCCGAGCCCTCTGTCACCTCTCCGAGGTTTACGTGGCCTGGGGTCTGGCAGCGCATCTGTCCAGTACGCCTGGCCTGAGCCGGCACCCCAATCCCAGCCACACCTGCAGAGCCTGGGAGGGTCGTGTCCCCAAGGCCCTCAGCCCCCAGGCTGTCCCCAGGCACAGCCAGAGCCTTCCCCAGGCCCCTGGTGAGGAGGGGCTTAGCCTGGGGTCCCTCCCCCAAGGTCCTCCTCAACATTTCCAGGGGCGGGCAGGGCCCTCCCAGTTCCCTGCTGGGCTCGGTTGGCATCACCGCCAGCCTGGCTTTGGGGCCCGTTATGTGTGAGGAGGAGGCTGGTGGGTGCAGGCAGGTGGCCATGGCCGTCCCTCCCCTCGCAGGACCTCTGTGTCCTCTTTGTTCCTCGAGGGGAGGGGACAGAAGCATCGGAGTCGCCTCGGTGGGCCATGTCTCGGGGCTGCTCCCAGCCCCCTCCTCCGGGTGCTGACGGTGCCAGGCTGGGAGCCGTTCCCATGAGTCTCTGGAGCTTCCTGCTCTAAGTCCCACTGCCTTCGACTTGACCCAAACCCCAGCTTGTCCAGAAGCAGAGTTCACGCGACGGTGGTGCAGACCCGTGCCCACGTGGCCCCTGGTCCGAGGGCACACCTGCTGGTCCCCCACTGACCAGACCAGGGAACCTCCTGCTCGGCCAGGTCCCTGCACCCGGCCAGGTCTGAGGGCTGCCCACAACCACGCCAATGTGCCCGGGCCTGAGGCTGCCGCTGCGGCCACCCTGCCCAAGGCCATGGGCAGCGCCCCTGCCGGCTCCCTGGTGGCCGGCGGCCCTGCAGGTGCCTCAGGAGTGAGCCAGGGGAGGACCCTCTCACCTGGTGGCTGGGTCCTCCGAGGCCGCTTGTGTCCTAAGCGCCCACTTGGACTGACAGAGGTTACCCCACCCGTCAGGGCCCAGGGCCACTGGTGCCCCCCTCAGACCGTGTCTGGGTGGCTTTCCCTCAGGGATCCTGTCTTACCCAGTTGAGCCGAAGACCTGGCTCCCTTCCTCCCTGGGACCGCCCCGACTCCCCTGTTGTGCATTGAGCCCCATTCTCCCACCTGCCCCACCCGGCCCCAGGGAGCCCCAGCCCACAGCCCAACCGCTCAGCAGAGGCCCCTGGGGTGTGGGAGCCCAGCACCTCAGTATCGGGAATGGGCTGAGGGGTCACAGGAAATGACCAGCTGCCCTGTGGACGCCTGTCCAGGGGGCTGTGGGGTTGGGGGGTGGAGTCTGGGCGGGCAGCCCTCTCCCTCCACCTCTGGGTAAGTGCCACGGCTCCTCCTCCATCACCTTCCTGACTGGGGGTTTAGGAGATGCTCTTACCCGCCCCACCCTCTCAACTCCCATTTACAACAGCCTTGCAAATGAGCACAGCAGCCAATGAGGCTGGGGCAGGAGGGAGCACCCTGTAGGCTGGGAGCACCCGGGGAGCAAGGGACCTTGGGCTGGGTGCCCCGGGCTTGCAGGGCCTGGGGCAAGTGGCAGTGAGCCTGCCAGGAGGGGAGACATCTTGGCTGGGCAGGAGCCGCCTCTGGCCTGGCCCTCTGGCCCCAGGCGCGGCCACTCCCCAGATGCCGGAGGGGATGGCAAAGTTCAAGCACCCCAAGCCCTGGCGGCCCCACCCCGAGACCCCGGAGGGGCGTCCTTACTCAGGGTGGTGCCCGATGAGAAGCCTCAGGGAGGGGAAGTCTCCTTTGGCGGCGGCGTAGTGGATGGGCAGGGCGCCCGTGTCTGTGGCTGCGGTGGGGTCCCCACCGCCGTGACGCAGCAGCCAGTCCACCACCTCGGGGTGGCCGAAGCGGGCAGCCAGGTGCAGGACTGTGGCACCAGAATTGTCTTTGTCCTGTGGAAGGAGGGCGCATTAGTCCCACAGCCTGTCCTGCCCCGTCTGTGGCTCAGGCCCTTCCCGCATCCCTCCGGCCATGGGGCAGCTCTGTCCTCGGGCACCTAGCGGGCCTGCTTTGAACTACAGTCCAAAGTGGCACCACCAAGCCATGCCATGCCCCGTGGGCTCTCTGAAAACTGCAGGCCATGACTGAGAAGTCCGCACAATGCAGGTTTTCAGGATGTGGCACTTGTCCCCGCAGGCGCTCAAGGGTCTGGCCAAGACCCGTGCCGGCACCCAGGTGCTCAGGGACATGTGGGTGAGGGAGCAAGAGTTGCTGGGCCAGGGAGGTGGGCTGTTGGGGCTGCACCAGGTTGGCATCGGGGTCAGGGGCACCTTCTGCATCCAACCTTTGCGCGTCCCCACCCGTGTCACATGGGAAGGGCTCTCCAGATTGGTACATCCCTAATAACCCAATCTCAGTGCAGAGAACTGCCCCGCCTCCCTGCCCAGCCCATGCCCTGTTCCCAGGCTGCCTTCTTGCCCCGTGGGGCAGTGGGCAAGGCCTGGGTAGTCAGCTAATGGTGGTACCCCTCTCCTAGGCACCCGGGAGGGCGGGGGGCAATGGTCAGAAGTGCCCGATGTGTCCTTGTGAGCAGCCGGGTGTACCTGCCGTGGGGGCGGTGCAGGGGCAGGTGCTGCACATGTGTTGGGTGAGGACAGTCCCTGAGACCAGAGGCCGGCTGGCGGGGGGCATGGGCTCTGGGACAGAGTGAGCTCCCAGCGCCAAGCATGTGGGACGACGGAGGAGAGAGGGCGCTGGGCTGGGCAGTAGTGAGCGGTGGGCACGGTTTACTAGAATCGAGGAAGTGGGGCCTTCTGCCCAGGTGTGGGCACAGGTGGGCACAGTGTGGCTGAGGCAGCAGGAGGAGAGGCTCCTGTGAGAAAGGTGAACAGAAGCGAGGGCCTGGAGGGGGTGGGGCCCAGGGCCGGCTGGTGTCCTCGAGGCTGAGGGGCAGGCGCAGGCGGACTGGCTGTGGCCAGGAGAGAGGTGGGCAGCAGAGTAAGGCAGAGGGGGCAGGAGTGAACGCCCAGGATGGAGGGTGTCGCTGAGGCCCTCTGTGTGCTGGAATGCCTAGGTGGGACCAGTCTGGCTCAGTGTGTCCCTTGAGCCCAGGGGACAGGGCTAGAGCCGACCCAGGCAGGCCCGCCGCCTCTTGAGAAAGGCCCTCGGTTCCTCCTGGCCTTGGGGCTGGGGGCCTGCAGCTCCCGGGGATCCTGCTGGCTTCTGGGTGGGGGTGGCAGTAAGAAGAGGACCGGGCTTAGGGGCTCCGGCCTCCTGTGCTGTGGCCGGCACCCTAAATTTGCTTATCCCTCTGGGCTGAGCAGGGCCAGGATCTGAGCACCACCCCCACTTCCGCCCCCGGGGGCTCGAGGACGGGAGCCGAGATAAGCCGGGCACAAGGCCACCTGTTCTTCCGCCTCCTCTGCAGAGGCGAGGCAGGCTTCCGGCCAGGGCTGGACACGGGGACCAGGGAGGCAGCCACCTCCCCAAAGAGTGGGCAGGGACCACGTGCCAGGAACTCTGATAACAGAGCCGGAGATAAGGCTGGGCCATCTCCCAGGAAGGGCGGAAGTGTGTGTGGGGGTGCCATCCTGAGGGGAGAAAGGGGGCAGGGGTCTGGGCACCCTCAGGGGGGGGAAGCCTGGGCAGCCAGCGGTCTTGCCCAAAGTTCTGGTTCCTCCCTCCAGTGGTCCCAGCGGCCAGAATAGCTTCCAGGTTCCTTTCTCCAGCCTCTGAGACCCGCTAGCCCCGGTGGCTTCTCCACCCTCACCCTTCTCCCCACACTGGCCTTCTGCCGCTCCGCCAGGACAGGAGCGTGTAAGGGCAGAGCTGGCACTTCTTGCTCCTTGTGCTGGGAACTGTGATCATCACCTGGCCACTTCCTCCTCCTCAGTCGCTCCTCAGAGGGGCCTTCCCGGACACCTCGCCCAAGCAGCTCCCCGAGGCTCCCCCTCGCTTGGCCCTGCGGTGCCCGCTGGTACCTGGTTTACTTCTTGGCCTGTGGGTTTGCTGTGTGTTGCCCATAGACTGGCAGCTCCAGGGGGGCGGAGCGCCCTGAGCCCCGGCCTAGTACCTGTTGGTGCTCTATGGCCAGCAGGAGTGCTACACCAGGGCCTGAGCTCAGAAGGAGCCAGGTGTCCACCAGCCAGGGGACCAGAGACCAGGTGGGGCCTTGGGGCAGGAAGACGCCCTGGCCTTGGGGTCACCTGCCTCTCAGCCTAGAGTGGCTGTAAGGCTTGGCCGTCCCTCCAGACCTGATGGGAGAGGGGAAGGGGGAACGGGGGAGGGGGCTCCTGGGTTTCTGATTCTGTGCCCAGGCCCTACTGCCCCCACCCTCCCGGCCCCTGTGGTTCCCCATCACCTGGGTGCTGACCGGCATCTGCCCTGGTGCTTACTAAACCCAGGAGCCACCTCACCCTGGCCCTGGGGAGGACCTTGACGCAGGTGCAGTGGGGATGCTTGAA